CTTTTTGATTAGAGTCATTTAAACGATTACTGAAGCATACAAGACAATAGGAATCTGAATGATCAACAATATAATCATGATAATGATTACATTGTAATAGTAATTGAAAATTTTGCCATTTTCAATTTAAATTGTAATCAAATTTCATTTTAAAATCTATTATTTTTTTTCCGCCAAAAACAAATTCAAGTCCATTAGTTAATCTTAATCCATTTGTTTTTCTCACTAAGATTCATCTTCTTAACCATTGATCCATTTTATGTGAACTTATCATGATAATTGTAACCGTTTATTATAATCTTTAATCAATTATCTTAATTGTTTATTAACTGTTAATGGATCTCGTTGTTGATTATTGGTTGATTGTTATACAAAATTGTAATATGATCAGTAGTATTTGATTATCATGTATTGTTTATTGTATGATAAGTTATGATAACTTCTAGTATTTTGATTAATATTAAGTTAGTACAAGAGGAAAATGTAATCATGTTAATTGTTTTCTGTAACAATTGTATTACAATTTAATTTTGTTCAGTTTATTTAGTATATTAGGATATCAGGATTAATGATAATCACCTTGGATATGTGATAAGTTAAGGGGTAAAGGGTTAAACTGATTAACTGATAAAGTTAAATTGGATTGGGGGTTAAATGGTTAATCTTTGTATTATCATTGATTGTTGATATTGTTAACAAAAATGCCACCAGAAAAGTGTTTGGATGATGCTAAATGATGATGAGGATGAAAAGAAGATGAAAATTAACAATCATAATGATAAAAGAGTGAGAGGGAAGAGGGAGGTCTTTGGGAAATTGACAGACAGTTGCTGTTAGTTAATAGAGAGTAAGTGAGAGAGAGAGAGAGAGAGAGAGAGAGAGAGAGAGAGAGAGAGAGATGATGATGATGATAAATTCAGGAGCAAGAAGATGAGGATGAAAAGGTTGACCAGAAGAAATCAAAGGCTATTTTTGTTGTTTTCTTTTCTCTTCTTTCTTTCTGTCTTTGGGTCACGGTAAAAGGATGAAGAAGATGAAGATGATGAGAGAGTTTGGGAGAAAAGGAGTAATATGTTCATTCATCCGTACGAAGATATTGATTAAATATGAAAAAGGGTTGGAATATGAACAAGAATATGAATGTGGGAGGTTAAAGATGCTGATTCTCAAGGGGAAATGATAAATAATACTAATGATGAAGATGATGATGAGGAGATGGAGATGATGAGATAATGATCAAGGAGGAAAATATTAGTAACACGCAACTTTTATCCCTTTTACCAAAAGTTTAAGGCTAAACAAACGGCTGATTTAACTTATTCATATAAACTGATCATCATAATGATCATCAGATTATCCTGATGGTCCTTTCGTCCCACCCCTTCAGTTTAATGTTATTACATTAAATATATTTATCCTGAAAAACGTTATTATCTAATCATGAGAGAGAAAGATATGATTATGTTACAGGGTGAGAAAAAGGTTCTTTCAAAGGTTAAAGATGAATTATTGTGAGGATTGTAGTGAAAAAAGGGGTAGAATTGTTCTGATGGAAAGAATAGAAAAACAAAATTATTCTATTCCATGGCTTTTATTTCAACTAATAATTTGTATCTATTTATAAACAGAAAATCACATGGTAAAAATGATTCATTTTCCATGATAGTAATGGTCAGTTTCTAGTGAACAACCTAAAGGTGGGTCCCAATGAATGGTGATCATATTGTTGTTATTGATTGAAAGGTCAAGAAACAAAAAAAGAGTTGACAAAGTTAAGAGAGAAAGAGAGAGAGAGAAATGAGGATGGAGATTGAGATTGAGAGAGAAAGGGAAAGTGGAAGTGGAAGATGAAGAAGAGTGAGAGTCAGAGAGGTAGAGAAGGATGATAAGGAAGATATACTAAAGAGGTGGAAGGAGGGAAAAGGGAGGAGGAGGAAGTGGAAACCCTTTGATGCACTAATGAAGATTTTGGTAAAATGATTTTCCATTGATTTTGATGGATGATTGAACAGCTTGCGCATACCAATTAATTGCAATATTGTAAAGAGAATGAGAGAGAAGATGAGGACGAGGATGATGAATATGATGAGAAGATGAAAATTTGTACATAGAATCATTGAAGATGAAGATCAATGATTCAACGATTAACATGATGGGTTAAATGATGATTATACAGAATTATAATCAACCTTTTCCATCTTGACCTTTCCCTTTTCTATTTTTCTCTTATACACCTTGACCATTAGCATCCTCATCACTATCCCACCTCTCTCTCTCTCTCTCTCCTCTTCCTCTTCATTTCTCTTTCCCCTCTCCAATCAAATCCATTATGATCAATTTGAAGAAAAGGATTTGATTTGATTTACACGCAACATCCATTCTCGAATCATGAAAATTAGTTCTGAATACTGACCTCTAATCGTTTAACTCTCACTCTCGAAAAGCTTTTCATATGAGAACAAAATTTTGTTCAGATGAAAATGATGCTAATAACTAATATTGTCCATCTAATTGTTGTTGGTGTTACTATTATAACAATCATATTATTACACTTCCATATAAATGATTTGTAATCTAATTGATTTAATGGTCAATGTTTACATAAGAAAAGGTGATCTGAAAAATGACCAATGTCCAAAGTATGAGAAGAACAAGAAAGAAGAAGAAGAAGAAAAAATCCAACAAGAAACACAACAATCTATACTCTCTCTCTCTCTTGACCGCTTCTTTGACTGGTCACTTTGATAATCAACAGGAATAACAAGAAAGTAACAAATAAATAGTAATCATCATACAAATGATATAACTAATATCATTAATGAATGATAATAATAAACGTTAATTTAATAACGATAATAAGAAACTTTTTTTCATAAAGTTACGGTCAATTGAATAAACTCATTATAAAGAAAAAAGAAAATTTTTTTATCAACTTTGACCACTACCTCCTACTACTTACTACTACTAATCTCCACCCTCTTCCTACCTGGATGCTCATCTCTTTGCAAGAGGAAAAAAACACTCAAGGGGGAAGAGAGGTAAATCTAATCATTTCTTAAATAATAATGATGATGATGATCAAAGATGATAATGATTAGTATTTGTTGTTGTTGTTGTTGTTGTGTTACCTGTTTACTATTTACCTGTGATGATGATGATAACAATAGTGATGCAGTCATCTGTTGAGTGGGAAAAAAAAGTTTAAACAAAAAAGTTGAAAATCTAACGGATATAACAATAATCAATAATCATGTTGATTATTGTTATAATCTTAATCTTAATTATCATCATAATCATCAATTCATTTTTCATCTTTTGGACACTTTTGTAACAATTTATATTATTTTTCTTTGCAAATCAACAACAATAAAACCAATTTGCAATTTACAATTTGTTTTTTTGCCGATTGACTGTTGATGCGCTTTCAATCATTTACCTTTCGCCAATAAATCCATCATCATCATCATCATCTTTTAGCATCCTCATCCTAAAGTCCAGTTTGGTAAATTGTGGCGAGGAAGGAAAAAAGTTAAAATCAATCAATAATCAACATACATTTAGTTTTATTTTTGTTAAAAGGATTGAAGTTGAATCATCATCATGATGATAATCATAATTGTTACATTAATGTAATGATAACAATTAACTAATTCACTTCGAATGTTAGTTTTTTTTTACTTTTTCGAGAAAAAATTTTCTTTCTCAAAAAAAAAATAAAGAAATGGACTGACCACCAATAGATTTAATCATAATAATAATGATGATGTTAAATATTATTCCATTTAAGATTCATCCATATTATGAGTTTTTCTCACCTGTGGATTACCTTATCTTGTGAATTCACTTACCTTTTGTAAATCCATAGATTATAATCTAACAGATAAAAATAGAAGAAAAAACCAAGATAAATAAAAGGCTTTACTTTTACGTTCTTGCGACGAGGTGGGTTAGTGTTTTCTTATTTTCTCTCCTTCATCATCTTCTTCATCTTCTTCTTCGTCTCTTCAAGGTGAATGGAGAAAGAAGAAGATGCTAAAAGTGATGAAGATGATAAAAAGGTAAGAAAATAACAGGAAAAAGAAAAGGTTAACACTGATTGTTGATGAGTTACTCCTGTCAATCAGATTGATAATTAGGGTTTTAACCTTCAACGGAAGATGAATCTATTATTATTATCATCGTTTTGATATTGGATGTTGATTATTGGGTATTTTTTATATTATCATTATGATGATTGGTGTGTATTCAGTTTTCCTGTGTGTGTGTTGGTTGGTTGTAAAAGGTTTGCGATTGTGTAAAATAAAAAGGTAAAAGTTTACACCAAGTAAATTAAGGTCAATTGATTTGACTTCTCACCTTTTGTATGTGATGCGGGAGCATCTTAAGATGATGAGGATGATTAGGGATCAATTGAGATTAGATTATTGGTGTAGATTAGATTCTGTTTGATACAAATTCAAGTAATGAAGGAAGGAGAAAATAATTGATTAGAAAATGAGAGTTAACTACTAATCACAATTGACAATGATTAGTGTTAATTGATGATGATTAAGATTAAGATGATAACTTTGAGATGCTATTTCTTGGTGTTGTTGTTTCTCAAAGTCAAATTTGTGTTGGTGTTTTTTTTATGTATCATCATTTTGATTTTCACTGCAACAAGTTGTGGTTTTCTTGTTAATTATCATGTTAATTAAATGATTCTGTTGATGAGGATGAGAAATGATGAGAATTAAATTCACTGAGCTGAATTTTTTTCTCTTCATTCAATCATCTCTCTCTCTCTCTCTCTCTCGTCCTTTTCATCTTCTATTCTGTTCTGATGATATTAGTTAACAATGTTGCTGACCAATTGACCGATTACATCCATCACTGATCCATCTGAATTTATTTTCATCTTCATCTTCATCTTAATCTATTATTATCGCCGGTAAAATGGTGATCTCTCTCTCTCTCTATTTTTTCTCTCTCATCAATTTTCATCTTCTTGTCTTTTACAGATTTAGGATCAACTTCTTGCATTCAGATTCATCATCAATAAGATTTAACCTCATCAATTGATAATTAACGTGAGCCCATCTCATCATTATCATCATCATCCGACATCCAAGGTAAGCTTGATGAAGAAAAAAAAAATGTTTCATTCATTTAATTGGTTAACTCAGTAAATTCATGAAACATGACAAGGTGATTAAAAACAATAAGAAAATTTTATCAGAATAATAAAAAAAAAGCTGATTAACTAAATGGAAATAAAAACAATAGATTGATGCTAATAATCAAATCTTAATGGTAATGATTAAATGGTGAATGATTTAATGTACTTAATGGGTTTTGGTTGTTTAATTTTTCTTTCTCTGTTTACATTTAACAATTCTGATTATTATCATGATGATTATGAGACTCGTGAGCAGTTAAATGAGTAAAAGAGTGTGATGAGTATCATCCTCATCATTATCATCTTCTTGTCTTCCCCATTGAAAATAGTTGTGTCTTTACAATTGAAAAGGTGAAAATGTCAAAAGCATCTGTACATTTACCCATTAAAACGATGAACCTTTTAATACCTTTGGTAATGATGGTCATTTAAAAGCATCAAAAACTTTAATCACTTTGACCATTCCCATAGAGAGAGAGAGAGAGAGCTTATTCTTCCTCTTTACATCTTCTTCTTACTTATTACGAACCTTTGAATATTTTTCGATCTGACCCATGGTCATTTTGGAAAAGATTTTCTAAAAGGAAAAGGTTTTTCCATCTTTTACCTTCATCATCATTAGAATCTCTACTTTCTTGTACATTGTCTTCCATTAAAGATTTTTTTCTTCAACTCGAATCGGATATAAAAGAGAAAAATAGAGAAGATGAGCTTATCAATGGAACTTTTCATCTTGATTCTTATTCTTCTCTGGATCCATTAATTAGGTTCAACATTCACCCATCATGATCATCATTCTCATGCTTATTCTGATTCTCATCATTTTCATCATCATCTTCATCTTATACATGGATGATCATCAAATTTTTCTCTTCTTTTTTTCTTATCATCTCTCTCTCTCTCTCCCTCTCTCTCGTTCTCTCCCTCTGTCTCTCTTTCTCTCTCTCATTTTCATCATCGGTTTTGTTTCTGGTTCAACTAACATGGAAACAATTGTTATTCTTTTTCATTCACATTCTCTCTCATCATCTTACTCTTTCTCCATCTTCTAATCATCTTTTTCCTTTTTACCCTTTACCGTTTCTCTCTCTCTCTCTCTCTACAAAACTTTGATTTCAATTCTCACTCCATGATAATACTTATCATCTTCATGCTCATCATATATTCCTCATCTCACTTTTCATCCTTTCATATATTCAACATGAGGTATCAGCTGATCAACTCTATATTCAATCATAAAACTTAACCATCAACTTATTTATATAATAAAAGGAATACGATGATCATCATGTTAACATTTATATATATCAGAATTTTAAGTCACGTGATGAAATTGAAGTTCTACATGATGATGATTGTGAGCATAAAGATGAAGATGATAGGAGGAAATGGAAAATTTTAAACTCTATACTTTTTAAATAGGATTTCAATAGAATAGAAGAAAATAAAAAAAGAACAAATTTCGAATTGAGATTTAAATCATCATCTTTTATCATCTTTAACTGTTTTCTCCCCTATATGTATTAGTTTGTTCTTCTTTTATCATCATTATCATTTTCGATTGTAAATTGACCCCAAGTTAACCTATTCCATTCATCTCTCTTTTTCCTAATCATCATCATCTTCATTATTTCATATTCTCAATCACGATTATTATTATGATTATTATAAGAAAGAAAAAGAATAAGAATTATCATCTTAAGGATCATCATCATCATCATCATCATAATCTTCAAGTTGAATTTCTGTTTCTTTTTCATTTGGAATAAAAAAATTGGCTAACCATTAGTCAATTCGGCCCATGATTTATGAAGGTTAATAAAGAATAAGAGAACGAAGTAGAAAAAAAATTCTCTCAATCTAGAGATGGACAATCGCATTCATCCTCATCCTCATCATCTTCTTCTTCATCTCTCTCTCTCTCTCTCTCTCTCCTTCTTACCTATTCTGTTTCTTTAATCTATTTCATCCATCCCTTCAGAATCTTCTCGTTATCTCCCCTGAAGAAGAGGAATAACCATGAGTTATCTCAAGTTTCTTCTACTGATTTAATTGGAAAAATAGAAGAAAAAGAGAGGGAGAGAGAAGAAAAATAGAAAGTAAAAGTAGAGAAAAGGAATCAAAATAAGAATCGAAATTGTAAAGTAAAATGTTTCTTCTTTTTAGAAGAAAAAATCATTTTAGACAAAGAAGATGAAGAAATGGAAAGAGAGAGAGAGAGAGAGAGAAATAAGAATTCGCCATCTTAAATTCTCATCCCCACCCTGTCCTCATCTTCTTCCCTCCTCCCACTTTACAATCATGAAATAAGGAATAGCATCATGGTGATGAACATTATCTTCTTATTTCAGTTTCCATTTTGTTCATCATTTTAATTTCATCTGATTCGCAATTGAATTGAGAATCTTTCTTTTCAAATCGAACGGTCTATTGGTCTCAAATATCATCATGATGATCATGATGCCTCCTCCTTCTTAATATCTCCCACCCCATCTTAATCATCATCAAATGTACTCTGTAGGTTGAGATGATACAAAATTGAAAAAAAGCTCCATGATGATGTGTGAATAAAGTATAATCAGTGTAATAGGAGATGATGATGATAATGATGTTGATGATGATATCCCTCTATCTGAATCTAAAAGTATAAATGAAATGTCTAACTGTTGAAGTTCAATCATCAGAATTCAATGAAATCTTGAATTCGATGAAGCGTTCATGATGATTGGAGAAGAGAGAGAGAGAGAGAGAGTAAGAGCGAGAGAAATGGAAAAAATGAGGAAAAAACTGTCAAACTCCTTAAAGAACAAGAGTGAGAGAAAAAGAAAGAGAAGTGAAATAAAAAAGAAATAAAAATTCAGGTAATTCTGATATTTTTTCGAATATTTTATTATAATGAGATTTCTATATTCCAGTTGAATTATATTATATACAGAAGAAAAGAGATGATATGATGATAAAAATATTTTCTCTCATCATTATCATCACTTTATTGAATCTCAATTTTTTGAGAGAGAAGATGATATGAAAAAAAATTCTATTGATTTGTCAGCTGACTACTCAGATTACTCACATTTTGATTTATCCTCAATCATGAGTAATATTATTATGATAACTTTAGATTCTGAGCAAACAGAAATAAGATATTCAATTTAATACCCTGATCATTATGATTACCTTCAACTTCACCACCACCCACCCACTCAAAGAGATCTACTGAATTAATCAAGAATAATATTCGATGGTAATTTTATCATCACTCTCTCTCTCTCTCTCTCTCTCTCTCTCTCTCTCTCTCTCTCTCTCTCTCGCTCTCTTGCTCCCTGTTCATCTTTCTCTCCTTCTTTCAAAATGGATTCAGATGATAAGACGAATTTTATTCTGTTTTTGAATAATGATCAAGATTAGATTGAAAGGGATCGGTCAGTTGGTCAGTTTCTAGCAAGTTTTTTCTTGGACTTCTTTTCACTTTTACGTGAAACCGTTAACTTGGTTTACTCGTATTCTTTGAAAAAAATGTCACACCTTCAACAAGAACGATTCTTGTGACAAATATCAGAAAAAAGTATCGGCGCCAAGATACAACGAGCAGGAAAAAAGGCCAATTATAGTGTAATAAAAACGACGATGACTTACCTTTTATGACCTTTTTTTAGTAGCTTGACCATTTGCTTTTAGTTTTAACAGGAAGACAAAACTGGACATTTACTACTTTTACTTGATGATCCACTTTTGATTGTAATACATATTATAACGATAACCATTTGCACCTTTTATTATAATACATTATTGATTCATTTGCAATGACCACTGGTCATTTTTGTGCTAATTTTAACCTTTTACTTTGTTGTTTACTTTTTAGTTTTTATCAATTAAGAGACAAATGTATCAAGTTTTGTTTTTCAAGCTTCTTGATTAGTTTATGAAGGTAAAGTGAGTGAGTGAGTTAGTGAGAGAGGGAGAGATTCGTGGGTTAGGTCTATGAGTTGGAATTGATGAAGGAAAATAGCAACAGAGTGAGAATTAGAATGAAATATCCGAGAGAAAGTTAAATTTAAGGTATTGGAAGGTGGGGCCGAGGTAAAAGTTTCAAATTCTACAAAAAGAAAATGTATTCTTCTTCCCAAATGACTCATTATTAATAAAGATTGTTTTCTATTTCTCTTTCTCTCTCTCTCACTTTTTGTTTTTCTCTCTTTCGTATCCCATGCGACAGAGAAAAAAAGAAAGGGAAGATGATGCAGGATGATAATTCTTTTCCCTCTCTATCACTTTCTCTCACTAGATTAAACCAAAAATACCCTCGGTTCAGTTGCCCTTTTATCTTATCCACTCCCACCCCAATGTCCACTTTCAACATTTTCTCAATTTGAGAGAAAATTTTCCCGCTTTTAGTTTTTTTCTCCCAAAATTTCATTTATTTTTTTCTATTTACAACCAATGGCTACTTTCTCTCTCTTCTCTCTCTCTCTCTCTCCGGACATTAATCTTATCCGAATCCGGATTATTGTTACTTTGATTTAGAAATAAAAAAAAGTCTTTTCTCTTGTTCTTCTTTTTCTTTCTTTTTCCATTCGTTTTTAGATTTTTTTCGAATTTTTTTCATTTACTATTTGTCTTCCTTTTCCTGCTTCTTCATCTTTATCAACATTGTCTTTCTCTTTCTCTTTTCCTGTTATCATCATCATCATCATCTTCGTTCTTCCTCATCAGCATTTGTTTGGATAATAACATGATCATTATTATTTAAACAGCATTGATATTGTTTCCTGCATTAAGTATTATCATTACATTTGATGATTATATCACTTTCCCTATGTCACTTTTCATCCTCCCCCATCATCATCATAATCATCACTCTCACTCTCTCTCTCTCTCTCTCTCTCTCTCTCTCTCTCTCTCTCTCTCTCTCTCTCTCTGTCTTTCTTTTATATAATTTCACTAAAAAACGCAAAAAGATTATCAAATTAATTAATTGTCGCAAAGAGAGTTAGGTGACAATCGCAATCCCCTCACTTGCTGCTCAATCATTAATCAAAAAGCAGAAAACGTTACCTTTTGTTTTAGTTTTTCTGTTAATTCATTTACATTAATTATGTTGATCATCTTTTGTCCTTAATTCACAGGTAAATCATGATTATTGCAATATAATAATAATAATATGATTAACAATTAACTTTGTTTGTTTTAAATTCATTTGAAAGCATAAATTGAAATAATTTAACATTAATCAGTTTTTACTTGAAATTGTAAATTTGAAAACTTTCAACCAACTCTCATAATCATCATAATGATAATTTATCAAATCATGTTACATTATTATCATGATATTCATGATAATAATGTTGTAGTATAACAAACAGAGTAAACAATTAATTTTAACAATATAATTCATATATATATAAATATATATAAATTAAAATATAAATAATCTAATACATAATAGTAATCAATTGTTAAATTGAAAGTAGATGAAGAAGAAAAAAATTACAATCAATTGTAACAATCAATGAGAAACAATGAATGAGTGAAACTTTTTGATTGTGAAAAAAAAAATATGAAATGTGAGGTTAAATAAATTAATACTAATTCATTTACCATTTAATATTAACCAATAATTAATCATAATCACGATCAATAACTAACAAATCAATAATGCTAATCATTAATATTGTTAAATAATCAATTGCATTAGAGGTTTTAGCCTATTAATAAATATGATATACTCTTAATTGTTAATAACAATCAAACAATCAGTTCCATCGATTAATTAACCATGGAAAGAAAGAGAGAGAGAGAGAAAGAAACAAAGTGAATCAAATTAACTAACTAATTAACTAACTAACTAACTAACGAGAGGAAGATGTTGCTTAACCTCTTAAGGTGTGTTTCGTATATATAATATCAGGTATGGTGATGAAGAGGAAGGAGGAGAATGGAGAGAATGATGATAATTTAGAGTGAGCAGGGAGGAGGAAGATAGAGAGAGAGAGAGAGAGAGAGAGAGAGAAGACCAGTGAGTGAGTGAGTGAGAGAGAGGGTGAAGAGGGTGGAGGTGGATAAAAAATATAATTCGAAACAAAAAACATCCCACTTTCCACTTTAACCACCTCCCACTTTCTTAAAATCTACCTGACGCTGGAGTTACAAGTTAAACGAGTTTAGTTGCACTTTACACTTTACGCTTTACAAGTTAACGTTTTATTATTAACAATTTAAGTTAATTGGATTCTAATTTTTTTTTTCTTCTTCTTATTCTTATAATTATTCTGATTTCTTTGATTGTTGTTGGTCATCGTTGTGTCCATCTATTGGTGTACATTTGTTTGTTTTGCTTGTTTTGGTTCTCGTTGCTTTTTGTATGATCGTGTTACTTTTTTGTGATTGTTCGTTACTTGGTTTCCCTTAGGATATTTCATCATATTTAAGGTTCGTTACATGACAAATGAGGATTACAAGATGAGTGAAAAGGTTGATAATGTTCATAATGGACACCACAAGGAACCGATTAATTATTGTTCAGATAATTCTGAGATGGATGATATGGAACCCGAAGATGACTGTGATTCAATGGATTCGGAGAAATCTCTCAATCTGGTCAGTATACTGGTCACTTTTTCTTTTTTTCTCTCTCTCTCTCTCAAATATATTGCCAAGTTGTTATTTCGAAAACTTGAAACGGATTAGAAATTAGAACTTTTCTTCAATTCGTTGGTTGATAAAAAGTTTTTTTCTCTTATAATAATAATATTATCATCTCTCAATCGGATTAATCATTTGAATGTTTTCGAGAGTTGCAATTGATTGTTTTTGATGTTTTTCTCTCATTTTTCGTTGACTGTTGATTGTTTTATTAATTGTTCTTTTATTCTGTATTCTTGTCGGTGTTTAGACGATGGAAGATAGTTCAATGGATACTCCACCAACTCCAACACCAACAACAACATTGATACCAACAAATTACAGTGATAAACATTTTACTTCCTCCAATGGAGCCGTCAATCTGGTCAACAATTTGTCATTCGTTAATCCTGCTCATCGTGTTATCCTTAATCCGGTTTCTAGTGTATTCAATTCACCTTCAATATTATCATCATTATCAGTTTTACCACCAAATTCAACTAAAACAGCATCACCACCATTATCATTATCATCATCAGTATCATCAGCATCAACAACAACAACAACAACCTCATCTTCAGCAATTACAATAAACAATCAGCAAACCTCATTACTGCCTTCATCATCATCCTTTTTATACTCATCTACATCTTCCGGTGGGTCAATGTCACCAACAACAGTATCTCCACTTCCTGCCTCATCACCTTTATCATCCTCATCACCCAATGCACAAGCAGCGACAACATTGGCATCAACGGTCAATAATTTACATCAATTGGAGCAATTACAGGGTATCCCTTTGAACCTTAAAGGTAATGGTGGTGGTTCAAGTGGAGGATCAAATGGTAATGGTGCTAAAGGTGAATCAGCAGGTAATACCGGTAATCTTAATTCCAATGGAGCTGATCTATCAATCAATGGTTCCAAGAATTTTTCCTCTAGTTCAATCAATGGAAACAATTCTAATTCTAATTCTAATAATAATAATAATAATAATAATTCGAGTGCTAATAATAACAATTTAGCATCTAATGCAATGATGAACGGAAATATCAATGATAATAACGGAACATCATTAACTGGACCAAGTGACCTTTCAATGGGATCTTCATCTCCATCTTCATCCTTAAATCGGTCAACGGCAAATTCAATGGCAGCGCCAAATTTATTAGCATCGACGGCAGCAGCTCTTGCGGCAGCGGCGACAACAGGATCTAATTTACCGATTAATCAACTGGCTCAGGTAAAATTGATGGACAATATTTATAACCTTTAGTTGATTTACAGTTAATTAGTTGATTAACATTTCCAATCGGATTAGAACAAAATTTCTGTCAAGTTTTATTTTCGTTATAACGATGAGATCGAATAGATTTGAATCGATCAAATTGATATTCGAGTGTTTATCAGAAAAAAAACTCGAACTTAGTTCTAATCGAATACAAGCTTTTGAGCGCTAATTTTGAATTTTATTCGAAAATCGTAAATTTTCTCGATCAATTGGTCAAATTTAATTCGATTTCGATCAAAAAAAAGTTTCGACAAACAAAACAATCGGCCAGAAAAATTACTAATCGATTGAGATGGATAATCTAATGAAAACTTTACCGTTGAATTATAATTGTTTAATTAATTAATTCCATTTTAATATTCTATACAATTTCGTCATTCTAATTAATAATCAATTGATTGATTTAATTATTAACAGTTAATGGCCGCTGCTGGAGCAGCTCAAGGACAATTATTATTACAAGCAACTTTAGCTCAACAATTACAACAGCAACAACAAGCAACATCAAAGGTAAATCAATTCAACTTAATCAAACAATTAACACCTAAACCGTTTGATTAATTTTCCAATAGGATTAAAGGATTAGCTAGTATTAAAAAAAAATTAATTTCACTCTCTAATCAAAAACAATAGATGCCAGTTAATCCTAATCTCGGTGGTTTCCCATTGAATGCAACTGATTTACAGCAAATTCAACAACAGCAGCAAAATTTACAAAACCTTCAACAATTAATCCTCCTCCAATCAACCGGACAATTGACCCCTAATTTACAGGCAATGTTACTACAGAATCAGGTAAAAAGATGACCAATCTTAATGAGCTTTTGTTTTTAAATTAATCAATCTAATTAAATGAAATTGTGTCGACAGGTTGAACAAGGTTACCTTCAGCAAACCCTACAAACTTTAGCTGGACATGGAATGTCTTTGCCTCAAGTTGCTGTTGCAGCTCAACAATTACAACAACTACAAGAATCACTTGGTATTAATGGATCATCATTATCATCCTCATCATCTGCATCCTCATCTGCATCTTCATCTTCATCACTTTCTTCAGGAGTTCTCAATGGTCATCACAACAACTCCAATAGTAATAATAATAACAACAACAACAACACCACCACCAACAACAATAATAACAATAACAACACCACCAATAATAATAATAATAATTTAAGTAAATATCACCAAAGACATGGTTCACCTTCAGATATAATTAGTAATCAGAAGAAAGTGATCAACCTAATTAATCAACATCATCTTAATCATCATGGTTTGAATGGTTTAACTGATCCACATTCATCTGCATCTTCAGCATCTTTTTCATCTTCAGCCTCATCAACCACAACACCGACATCTAATAATAACAATTCACCTTCAAACACCAATAGTAATAATAATAATAACTCCATGAATAATAATAGTAACAATTTAATCAACAATAATACAGTTAATTCTCAGCTTTCAAATCACAATCAACTTAATAATTATCACCATCAACTGTCAACTGTCCGTTCGCGGGCTGAGACAAGTCCTGAAGAGATGAATGATCTTGAAGAGTTGGAACAATTTGCTAAAATGTTTAAACAACGAAGAATCAAATTAGGTAAGTTAACAATTTAGTTTCTCGAGTATAATTAAAGTTGATTCGATTGTTTATTAATTGTTTTGTTCTTCTTTTCTCTAATCCATTATTGGTGCTTTTGGGAAATAAAGGTTATACCCAAGGAGATGTTGGCCTGGCGATGGGTAAATTGTATGGTAACGATTTCAGTCAGACGACAATTAGCCGATTTGAAGCTCTTAACCTTAGCTTTAAGAATATGTGCAAATTAAAGCCTCTTTTGGAGAGATGGTTAAAGGATGCGGATGCTTCACTTACCAATCCAGGAGTCATGTCATCATCTCAGGCATCAGCTGATGCAATTGGACGAAGGCGAAAGAAACGCACGAGCATCGAGACAACAGTTCGTGTCGCCCTAGAAAAAGCATTCATCTCAAACCCAAAGCCAACCTCTGAGGAGATTTCAATGTTAGCCGATTCTCTTTGCATGGAAAAGGAGGTCGTTCGAGTTTGGTTTTGTAATCGTCGGCAAAAAGAGAAACGAATCAACCCTCCACTCAATTCATCCGATGATCCAGATAATGGATGCTTAGGATCACCTTCATCATATCCACCTTCACCTGCCTAAGAAAAGACAACCACCACCGCCGTGAATAACAAAAAGCACACCATGGAAACCATGATGAGAGAATGACAAAATTTTCATTTATATCAAAATCCACTTTCCACCCTCCACATAAAAAAAACCCACTCTCTCTATCTCCCTCTCTCTCTTCAACACCAAGACATTATTATTATTATTATTATTAAAATCAACAATTAATCTATGATAATGATGTAAACTCATTTCCATTTTTAATCATCAATGAATACCCTCCCTTCAACAAAACACCCCGATGGTTTAATCATGATCAATTGACTCTCTCGCCTTTCAAACTTATATTGTTACAATTAATACTAAATACAATATGATGATTAAAATTAATTCTTGATTAACCATAAATATATTACTATTATTATTATTATTATCCCTCAAGTTAGTAATTTTTATCTTTCTTTTAATGATCTTGAGTGTTTGATTGTTAGGCTACTCAATTTGAACTGATTAGAGGAAATTGAATGATTAACAATTTACCGATTGATCATTTTAACAATCGACATGAAAATATAAAGTTTTAGTCAATAGATGGCGACTATGAATAAAATAAAAAGAGAAACAAAAAGTTGATAACATTTGATATTCAGCATTCAGCTTGGACACAATGAGAACTGGCAATGATAACTCAAATACTATACTTTATTGAATACAATTAATGTTAATCATGAGAGTGTTTTTTTTACTCATCATCATCGGTTGGAAATTAATTGCTGATCAAATTGCAAGAGAAACAAAAGTAAATCAATTTCATTGAGATTTCGTTTTTTGATAAGAAATAAATTGTAGTATTATTTTGCATTTTCCAAGTGTAAGATGATGATTAGAGTGGACAGTGGACATTGATGAAGATGATAATTTACAAAGGGATAATGTTGCAAATTATAAGATGAAAATGATGATAAGGAAGATAATAAAAGAGAGAGAGAGTTGGAGTGGGAGTGGGAAGGGGATGAAGATGATACGAAATGAAAATCAAAGTGAAAAATGTAGAGCGACTTAGATTACATCATTGACAATGATTCGGATGATAAAAGATGATAATGATGATTATGATGATGAGGAAGAGGGGGTGGTTATTGAAGACGATGATAATAATAATAATGATGATAAAAAAGTGAAAAAAAGGTGGAGTTTAATAGAGTTAAAGAGGAGGAGCAGAACATGCGTAACCTGAATACTATCATGTTGATGGATTTTACCGCCCACCTAAAAGTGAAAAAAAAGATGAAGAAGATGAGAAATGGGGTGGAAGATAATGATGATGGAGAGAGAGAGAGGAAAGAGCAGATAGACAGTAAAGAAAGAGAGAGATTGAAATAGTTCCTTGGGAAGTGAATCACGAATCAGTTATATCCATTTAACTTGTTATCCATTGTGTGTGTTATTTCCTGGTTGATTTTCATTCCAATTTTTAATTCTCCATCTTCATCTTTAATCATTATTATTCATCATTCTAATTAAGATGCAAATCAAACTTGTTACTAATTAATTAGTTTGATTATTTGTCTCTTTAATTGTCGCAATTTAACAACGCTAATAATTCAAGACCAACAATTGATTTGGAAATTTTGGAAACAAACTTTTCGATCAACTTTTCTTTTGGAAACTGTTTCCATCTCTCTGTGTATTTTTGTGTTTAAATTGTTGAATTTTAAACTTGAGAGACAACAAGATTAAACAATCAACTCTAATTGTTTATCCTTCTCGTGCTAATCAATTTAATTATGAGTGATTTGGAAGTGCTTGAACAATGTGCCAAGCAGCAGCAAATTAAATTGGGTAAGTTAATTGCCGATGATTTAATTGCTTGTCTCAGTTTGTATCATGATTGCTTTGAATTGGTAATGAAATGAAAGTTAATTGTTTCAATTTGAGATTTAAATTCAGGCGTTGATTTGATAGCCAAAGTGATGGGATTGTTTGAAATGAAATTCTGTTTACTTTCAGGATCTATTTTCATGGTGAAAGATTTTCAAGAGATTTGAATGGAAAAGAAAAAGAAACAAATTCGAAAAAAAGTTTGTTCTACTTTTTTGTTTATTCGAAAAGATTTCACTCCCATTCCCTGTAATATCCATTTCTCTCTCGTTGGTCAGTATCATGATTCCAAGAGAAAACTTTTCATTCTCTTTAAATTTCAACTGAAAATTCATTTTAAATGTTATCCATTTCATGCTGTTTCTACCATGAAAGTTAACTGAATAATGAAGATACAAAGATTACCTTTTGAATAAAGTTCACTTGTAATTCAATATTAATATCACCATGAAAATCAATTTACTCAGATTCATATCGAACTTTGTTTCTTATTTTTTTTTCTTCTTCCTTTTTCTGTAAATTATTTAAACTAAATCATGATGATTAGTTTAATATTTTATTCCGATAGATTCAGTTGATTAGAATGAAATTATTTGAACAACAAAAAGTTGATAAAGTTGAAAATATTTCATGAGAAATTCATAATCAAACAGTAAGAAAAGAAAGTTCATCTCAATCAGAATCTATTGAGAAATTGTATTTATATATACTATATATCTACATGGTAAATAAATGAGTGAATGAAAAGTTCAGTTTAATAAATTATAAATTCTGAAACAAAGTTTAAAAAGTTCAATTCATAGGGAATTAAAATATTCGAGAAGTGAATTTGTTCAATTCAGAAAATGGAAAATTTTTCTGACCATCAAAGTGATTTCCATGATTATTTAGAAACTGAATTAAGGTGAAAATTAGTTTTTGACTTGTAAATTAATCTGAAAATTGTATGAATTTGTTTCGTATAATATGAATTCAGGGAATGAATTTTATTCTAAAAAATTCTGACGTAAAAATCTGTTCAGATAAACATATTCCTTCATCACCAGTCTCGATCTCATCATCTCTCTCTCTCTCTTTTATTTTACACTAAAAGTTTTCAATCTTTATCATCATCATCATCATCTTTCAGAAAGATCTGAATGATCATGAGGTCAGTTTATTCAGGGAAGATGAGCAAAGAATCAGCATGAACATTGGTAACAGCAAATACTTTTATTTTCATCCATCCTGAACACAAGAACTTTATCTGAACAGATAAAACTGAATATATATACATACAAATTTCTCTCAATTTATTCACATTTCAATTCTCTTGAGTTTTTTATTTCTCTCTCTTTCCCTGAATTATAGGAACCAATTCAATTCTGAATGCTTATTATTATTCTGATTCATATATTCAACATCATCCTCATCACCTTTTTCCCTTTCTTTTCCTCTCTCTCTCTCTCTCTCTCTCTCTCTTCCTGCTCCTTATCTTGAATACGATTTTCAAATTTGCAAGAAAAATTTTTTCTCTATGGAAATTTATTATTTTCAATCTGTTTCCTAGGAAAAGTTTTCTCGGTCTGGACATTTGAAAGGAGAAGTAGGTGAAAGTGGGAGTGAAAGATGGGTGATGAGGGAGAAGAAGGAAATACAAATTCATTTCTTTTTTTCTTTCTCATATTCTCACTTTTATCCTCAAGGCCTTTTTGTTTTTCTCTCCATCATCATCACCTAAATATCTTGCTTATACCCTGTAAAGTCCGAGTGGTTTTTGCATCATCAAAAATCATCTTTCAACATTTTGCAAATTTCCAACTTTCTATCCCTCACTCTCAGCATCCTCATCCTCATCCTCATCTTTCTGATATTGAAATACATCAAAAAAATCTTGTTTGATGGACAAAAAAATATTCCTTCACAATTTAATAAAGTTATGTAAATTTCTAGCATCTAATTTTCCCAATTCACAATTTTCCATCATCACCATTGACCGTTTTCATTTTCATCTTCATCCTTAAAACCATCATCATCATCATCATCTCAAAGAAATGGAATCAATTTTTTCACCAATAACTTCAAGTCTTTGCAGCTCATTTTCACGATGCTTTCACTCAACATCATCATCATCATCATCTTTGCATCCCTTGGTCTCTCTCTACTTATCATCCCGAAATAACCAGCACCTTATTATTGAAAATTGTATATTGAATATTAAGTATTATTATGTAATATGCAGAAACATATTCGAGGGTCTGAAAAGTATCAATCAATTGTTAATGATTCATTTCCAATTTTTTTCACCCTGAGTTTTTACCATTGATTTTCAGTAAATGACACAGATTTTGTTCATCATCATATGTATTGATAACAGTAATCATAATATATATTGGTGATATATTATTATTATTATTATTATCATGATCATTATAATAAATGATCATGATGAAAATGATAACTGTAATCATAGACATTTGCAAAACAATTGCAGTTAAATCAAATTAACTTATGCAGATAATAGTAATTGATAAGAGACTGGGACTCATTAGAAATGTAATATTACATTAACAGATATTATTACTTATCATCAGCCACCACCACCACCACCATTCACCACCCGCCATCAGCTGAGGTGGATTCATTTTCATGAGAGGAGGGATGAGGAATTACAATAATAAAGATTATATTGATATTCAACTGTCAATGTTTATGATAATACTCATGAAGAAGATGACAATGAAGATGATGATATTGTGGTTTACTTGTTATAGGATTGTCATGATGTAGACGAGTTGATGATGATGATGAGAAGGAGGAAAAGGATGAGGATGATGAAGATACCTTTTGTTTGTTTGTTTGTTGCTAGAGTCAATTGATTAGGGATAAAATGAATGTCACATCATTTTCAAGCATTTCTCAGGTCTTTTTATTATTATTATGATGATGATGATGGTGATCAACATGATGATTATTATTATCATTCATTATATTACGGGAATCTCACTTATTAACAATCCATTGATTAAGGTATTCATCCTTGATCATCATAATCATCATCATTCCCTTTATAATCTTCATGCTTCACTCATTGGATTCTGATTCTTACCTTTATCTCCTCAGTGTTATCGGAATGTGGTCAGAATGAATTCCTTGTTATCATCTCATGTCCATGTAGCTTCATTTAGGTTGCATAGCAATCATCATTAGTAGAACGAATATTTTTATCATCACATTATCTTCATTATAATCATGATGATAATGATGATGAAAATGCTTCTCCCTGTTAAATTACCATTAACATTTCATGATACTAATCATGTTATTGAAAATTCCATATAGTTGAGGTTATTCATCCTTCTTAGGATCAACATTTTAATTATGTTAATTTAAAACCAATATACCGATTCTTCAATTTTTCATCGCATATATATCATGTTATGTGTCACATTTTCATTATCAGAATTGATATTTTCAAAATAATATCAATAAATATGTATAAATACATGATAAACAAGCTAACACACACTGAGAGTGGGTAGTTGAAGGTGGGGTGGGTTTTTTTTTCATACATATTATTATGATTATTTAATGTTGATATTTTAATAAATCAACAGTTATATCAAAAAGTTGAATCCATGTTAACCTTATGGTAAAATTAATGATAATAGTTTGTTGTTGTTACTTTTCAACCGGCAACTCGGAAATCCCATTAACACTTAATAAACATTTTGGAAAAGTTTTTTTAGTTAAATTTTGATAAATTGTAATTTAATTGTCTGTTAATCATTTCAACAGTTAATATCAATTGTCACTGATTCAACACTCAACAACTAACGCGATGAATAATATTCCCAATTTTGTTAATCGATTTTCAATTCGAGTTCTAAAAAGTATCTCACCTGAAACTCATGGAAAACTATCAATCCAATGAACGATTATTATTGTTATTACATTTTGGTTACCATGTTCTCAGGTTCTCATTTTTTATTCTTTATTTTTTTCTCGAATTTTTTGTCCAACTAATAATATCTTCGAGAGCCCAATGTACATTATCGTGTTTTTTTAACTTCGAATATGTTGAGTAATTTTTTTTCTCTCTCTCTGTTCCATTCACCATGAATTTCTTTCGCTTGAGTTTCTCTCTCTATCCAAACAAACTTTTCCCTTTGAACTTTTTTTTATCTTGATGATGATTTTTTTCACTCGCTGTTGCTTGTTTTCTTGTTAATGTTTTCACCCGCCGGCTATGGTCAACATGTTGATGGTGATGAAGGACACAAGGTCTTGATCATCATCATCGTCTTACTATTTTATCAATGTAACTGTTAACAGTTGGAGTTTTTTTTTCTTCATCCAATTCACATTTACTTTATCTTTTAGTTGAGAAAAATTTGCAAGAGAAATTTTTACTTTCTCTTTCTTATGAATTCAGGGTGAAATTCATGAAAATCTTATGATGATGATGATGGTGATGTAAAAGTAAACCTTGCAGCTAAATAACCATTCATATTATCATGATGATCATCGTGTTTATTGTTGAATAGTTTGTAAAGTTTACCGTTAGACTTGGAATCAAATATTACCTTTACAATTTAAATAACGAACTGAATCAATTGATCAATACGGTTTACACAATGGAAACAATCAATGAAGCCAAATGTTGTATTGTAAATAATTAAGGGATAAATTTTTGTTGTTTGATATTGAAAAATTGAATTTGATTTAAAGGTGCTGATTATGATGAGGATGATAAAGAGGATGGAAAGTGAGATGAGGATGCTGGAAGGAAAGTGGAGGTTAAGTTGACAGTTTTTCTGTTGATCTCTTTCCCTCTCTTTCTCTCATTCAAATTACTATTATTATCATTTTTGGATATAATAGATTGGACTTTTATCCATTCAAAATTATGGGGAAAATGTCTAAAAATATACTTAAATATTATCGAGGGATGATGAGGGTGATGAAGAGAAGGAGATGGA